TTCTAAATTTTGTAGGCCTCATGCATACATGTGGTGCACATACATACATGTAAGCAAAGTTCTCATACATGTAATAAATAAATAAATAAATATTTTTTAAAAGAAATATGCTAAATATATTAGAAGTTGAGTCAAGGAGATGATTCAGCCATTAAAACTCTTAAACTCATGTTTGAGGACCAGATTTTAAATCCCTCTAGGTTCACAGCTGAACATGTATACACACGTGCACATCTTGCTTCTTGTGCAGCACACAAGATGCAAGCAGGGACTGCATCAGTTACTAACTTATTACAAATGGGGAAAGAAATGCCTTCTTTAACTTAGCTCAACAGCTACCCTCCGCTCCTACCAACTGTCCAAAATTTAAGTGGGATGCCCACATTTCTGAGAAATCTTCATGTTGATGACCATCTCTGTAAGCAACCACCTGCACCTTCATACATCTCACGTAAACTCTGGTCTCCCATCTCTGGCCTGGTATACAGCCATGGTCATCGAGCATCTGCTGAATCCATAGATCAGACCTACCGTCATAGCCACTTTCCAATACAGTCATCCTTCCCTATGTGCCATGACAACATACTGCTCAGAGAATCATCCTCCCGGGGAAGGGCCATCAGCATAAGGAACATAGTCTCAAATTGTGTTGCAATGAGGAAGAACACCAACAGTCCTCAGGTTGGTAGTCCCAAGGTTTTGTGTCATACACAACAACACAAACATCTTGATACATAAGTAGAATGACTCAGTGAGAAGGCATTAACATTCTTTCTGTTTCCAAATCCATACTGCCAAGTTGCTTTCCAGAAAGATAGATGGATGTTTCTTACTGATGCTATAAAATATTACCATGAGATTCAGCATCTTAGAACAAGTGTTTATCTTATAGTCCTTGGAGTCGGAAGTCCTAAAATTAAGGTGTTAGCCAGACTAGGGAAGAACATTTTCCTTTTCAAGATTTTAGAGACATTTTGCTTCCTTGAGTGCCTTGTCCCCCCCCCACCCCCGCCCGCCACCTGCTGTCTCTCCATCTCCATCTCTGTCTCTCCATGGCGTTGCCTTCTCTTCTTCTGGCCATCAGTCCTGATCCCCTCTTACAAAGACACCAATGTAACCTGTCCAGAATACTCACCTCCTTAAGATCGTCAACTTAACCCCTCGCACTCAGCTTCCTTTTCAGTGTAGGACAACGTACTTGGAATTTCTGAGATTAGGATGTAGAGCTCTTTGGGAAGCCATCATTCTATACCAACGAGCAGAGTGTTAAAGCATGAAGACTCTTTGAACAAGAGCAAAGCAGGGTCAGGAGAGTCAAAAGGCAGACCCAAAAATAGTCATCTAAAAACATTCCCTGCACAAAGACTCGAGGGCAAGGTGGCGCTTTAATTTCAGACATAAGCTGTGTGATATAAATATCATCTTTGAAAACCAGGATTGGTTCTATGACAGGATCCTCACTGATGCTGACCCTGGGTTCAAGCCAGGAAGACAGCACTGCAAAAGCAAAAGCATTCGCTGCTCTGAACAGCACTGCAGCAGGCCCCTGTAGTCAGGAAGGCAAACTCTGCTGCCTTCTTCCGATAGCGGCTGCCGTGGGACAGCAGGGAAGACTGCTGGGCTGCACAACCCTGTATAAAAGACTTGCTACCTCTTACCCTTGCTACCTTTCTGCAAGGTTTTAGTTCTCAGCAATATCATAACACGACCGATTTCCAGGCACTTTCAGTACTCTAATTTCCCACATTTTATAGTCATTGCTACAGTCACACAGAAGTGTGGCCACTGATCGGAAATCACTACCCAACCCACCAGGGCTTGCAAAATATTACAGAGGCCTAACCTGCCATACCTCTTCCCACCCCTTCAGAGGAGGGGAAGACGCCTCTCACTTTCTTGATGGGAGTCCCCCTCTTGCGCCCCCTTCATACCTGAAGTGGAGGCTGCCCACTGTGGCAAACCATCTCTTAAGCTTCCTCATCCTACTCTGCACCCAGGATGGAACACATTAACTAAGACAACATCCTACTTGACCATGCAGGCTGTGGAGATCGTTTAGAAGGGGACACCTGATCCTCACCAAACCTCACACTTTTTAAAACTTTAGCTTAAGGAAGGGAGTTGTCTTATATGTGTGGCAATGCTGTGAGCACAGCAAACACTATTTTTGAAAGAATGAATAAAGCCAAGTGTTTAAGAGCCACAGGGTGAGAGGCAGGCAGAAGGGCAGACAAAGGTGTGTGTGGCAAGTTTCAGGCCCTTGCTCTTCTCTGAACTCAGTCTCTTCCTGGGTCTTCCCTACACCTTGAGTATGGGAACCAGAACCGCCCCCCCTTTTGGGTTTCTCTTGTCTGTAAAGATGACAGAAAATGGAAATGCAGTGCCTTACTTATTTCTTCATCCATAGTAGGCCTTTTCTTGCCGATGGTATTTTCCCATGCTTTTAGTCAGTTTTTTTGTTTGACATTTCAAAATACCTGAGGAAACAACTCACAGAAGGAGTACTTATTTTGGCTCATAGCTTCAGAGGAATCAACCCATGGTCATCTTGCTCTATTACTTTTACAACCATGGCAAGAAAGAAATGTCTGGAAGGAAGGGCATAGTGAAGGAAAGTGTCTCACCTCACAGCGTCCAGGAAGCAAAAAGAGAGGAACCAGAAGGAGCCAGGGTCACAAAAGCAAATGTCCACAACCCCCTGCCTCCAACCAGGTCCCACTTTTATATTTTCTATCAATGTCTATTCAAATTTTGAATCTGTCAATGGAATAATCCTCTGATTGGGTCAGAGTCATCATGGTATGTTTTAGGAAATGTTCTCAGAGACACCCCTAGGGGGTATGCTTTAACTAATCTCCTAGGTGACTCTCAATCCAACCAAGCTGAGCATCAACATTAACAATCACAAGCACCCACAGCCAGATCTAAGTGACCAGTAAGAGTTGTTACATCTGAGTTCCCTGGATAAACACCTTCCAGCAGCTGAGCAGTGAATCAAGCCCAACAGTTAAACTGTGGGAAAGCCTGCCTTTTCACAGATCCCTGTTAGTACATCCCTGAGAAGGTGCCCTAGTTGGTCAAGCACTGGTCTGCTATTACTCAGGAGATCAAAGGATTTACCACAAAGGATATATGGATAGGTCAGAGAAAGCATGTGAGAATGAAAGTGCTGGGGAATCTGTGTTCTCGTACACACAGGTCAGTCTGTGAGAGATTGATTAGGAAACCGGACTCTTCGTATCTCATGATCGCAAATTAAATGGAAGAGATGTCTAGGATTGACAAGATACAAGTACTGCATTGGGGATGCCTTGGCGAATAGGGGTGCTCTCATGGACAGGGTGCATATTCCCTCAAAGCCAAGAGTGATGCACAGTTTGCCGTATCACTGTGTCCCTTCTGCCCTAACACTGTTATCTAAAGTCTCTCATGATGCAGTCTCCAGCACTAATAGCCCTGTATTGGTTATTTTTCTATTGCTGTGATAAAGCACCATGACCAAGGCAACTTACAAAGAGTCTACTTGGGCTTATGGTTCCATGGGGATAGAGTCCATGAGCAAAGCAAAGGCATGGTAGCAAGAGCAGGAAGCTGAGGACTCACATCTTGAATCCCAAGAACAAAGTAGAGAAGGTAAGCTATAAGTGCCCTGTGTCTTTAAATTCTCAAAGCCCATCTCTAGCGACATTTTTCTTCAACAACATCACACCTCCTAAACCTCCCAAATAGCACCACCAACTTGAAACAAATGTTTAAATGTCCAGAACTATGGGAGATATTTTATTCAACCCATCACAGGCCTTACCAATGAAAAACTTGTCCTATCAATTTTTAGTGCTCCTTCATAGTAAATGCTAAATAAATCTTTTAAATAATGTAACAAAATGTTTAATTTGTTAAATAAGTATTTTTAATTAAGTCGTCTTCAATTCTGAGACTAGGTTAGCAGGCAGTCTTGGGAATAGGCACCTCTCCACTTCTCTACATCCTTGAGGTGATTATACCCTGTGCTGGGCTGGGGGAGAAGAACCATACTTCTGCATTCATTGCCTTTTGTTATTCTTGCAGAAAATGTTACTGTTCTTGTTATAAAAGCCATCCCATGTGGGTTTAGTAAATGTGTGTCCCAATAGATAAAACTGCTATTATGGCTGGCGAGTGTGTGTGTGTGTGTGTGTGTGTGTGTGTGTGTGTGTGTGTTGTGAGTGAGTGTATATGACACGTGTGTGAAAGTGAGAGGACAACTTTAGGTATTGTTCCCTAGGTCCCATCCACCTGTTTTTGTTTTTTTGTTTGTTTGTTTGTTTTTTAGATATAGTTTCTAACTAGCTTGAAACTTGATGAGTAGACTTGCTTCCTCACCAGTGAACCCCAAGGATACACCTGTCTCCATCTCCCCAGTGCTTAGATTACAAGTACATACCACCAATCCCAGCTTTCTTTGCATAGATACTTGGGATTGAATTCAGGTCCTCATGCTCACAAGGCAATCACTTTGCTCATGGATCTATCTCCCCCAGCCTCTGGCTGACTCTTAAGACAAAACACAGGTTCAAAAGTGTGGGACCTCTCACTATCCCATAACCCCCCCACACACACACACACAATGCCCTGCCCCAGATGAAGTACTTGCTTGCATTGTTGGGCATTTAGAAGAGAGAAGAGAGGCTAGGAGGCTTCTCTTGGTTTGAGGGGTTTCTTTATAATGTTTTATCTGCATATGTGTATGTGCACTTTCTGGTGTCTGTGGAGTCCAGCAGAAGGCATTAGATTGCCCTGGAACTGAAGTTTCAGACGATTCTGAGTTTCTGTGTGGTGCTAAGAATCACACCTGGTTCCTCTGGAAGAGCAGTCAGTGCTCTTAACTGCTGAGCAGTCTCTCCCGCCCTTGTTTTTTGTTTTTGTTTTTCACAGGAATCTATTGTGACCCTCACTTGGCCTCCCTTACCTCATGAGGAGGGGTGGGTGGGTAGGGTGTAAAAAGCACTTTGGCTACTCACCAATATCTATGCACAATGGGGAGAGACACCACCCTAGTTCTTCAGGGAGCATACAGAAAGCTGGAGAAGCCAGGAAGAGCAGAGATCCCATGGCAGAAGGGAGCTGGGCTGACTGGGCAAAGAAGAGGCAGCCCTGCCCATGGGCCCCTGAGTCACCCAGGATAGGCACCACAGCGTCAGCTCCCTGCCCAGAGGAAGTGGAAGCCGCACATCAGACTGAGTCATAGTTGTTGAAGAGACGCTGGGAACAAAGGCTGTAGACAGGAGCCTGTGCGGGGGACGGCGTTCAAACTGCTTTTACCCACCCCATCGGCACTGCTTCCCTGCCTGCTACGTGGGATGTGGCTTGCAGAAACCAAACACAGGGTCTGCTTTTACATCAGTCCTGGGCAGGCGGTTTTTAACTCCATTGCAGCAAGTGTGTTTTGAGAGATTGGCTTACTACTGATATTTTATCATTAACATTTTCCCCCACAGACTTTGTCTATGTTTTATTCAAAAGATAATGTGTCTGAGATGATCCTGTGACTTTCGAAGTGTTGACAATTTAATGTTTGAAAGTGGTAAAGACTACGGTGGGATTGTAAAAGATCTTTCTGGAGATGCAGTTCTAGCCTTGCCTGGAGTCTCATTAGAATAAGCAGACAGAAGTCAACAGGTCTGGCGGATCTAGGCAGATTCTGTCTCCATGTGCTAGCAGAGCCTTGGGCAAATGCTTTCCTGTTGTCTTGCTTGGGTATTTTTATTTGCAGTGTAAAAGAAACATTCTTTTTTATTTTTTAAATAATCACAATTAACGTCCACTCACTTCTTGGGCACTATTCCCTAAGCTGCAAATGGTGGGTAGATTGGGCAGTTACCAGGGCCTCTCCTGACTTAACTCCCTTTGGTTACTATTCTAGCTCTCTGGCAGAAAGTTGATGAATCTGCCTCCCCACAGATCCTCTTCAAATACCTATGTCTGTTAAGAGCTAGCTCTAACGTGCTCAGTGGTTGACCTCTGCATTACATCTGACCTCTAGGGACTAAGAAGGGTTTTGTGGTTGTTGTTGTTTTAACTAAAAAGAATGAATCTTAGCAAGAAGCCCTGCTTATCTCCCCGTAGGCGCACAGGACTGAGAGGTGTGGGTGGGTAAAGCCTCTGGGTGAAACTACAGCCTCTTTCAGAGGTCTTCGAAAAGTATCGTTTAGCAAGACAGAGCCTTTGGGTGCTTGCTGTATTTCCCACCTTTCCTGTCGAGACCTTCTTTTATAAAACCCTCCAATTGCCTAAGGTAAGTGTTGGGGGAAAGTGCTCATGCCTCTGGAATGTCTGTTCATCCTTGGCCAGACTCCCAACCTTCAAGAGTCAATAACACCCAAATTCTATTTGACTTACTGTAAACCACCTATTTGGTGTGCTGTAACACCTCTTGCTTTCAGAAGCCTCCATTTGCAAATTCACCTTTCACTCAGCTACTACTCAACACATAATTGCCATGGACAGAGGCACAGGTGACATAAACCCCAAACACCTACCTCAGGGACTGCTCCCTCAGCACCTTCACAAGACCTTGGTCATGTTCTGACTCATTTGTTTTTTTGTTTCCAAGCCAGAATGAGAAGAGGCCTGAAAATGTTCTTAGATTAAAGTTTGTACTAGGTGCCACCTAGCCACCTGAATCATGGAGCCCCAGGGACTATAAGGGGTTAGTGTTGCCATAATTTATTCTGACAGCTTCAAGATAAAGCATCTTGGAAGGATTTGGTGTTCCAGCTGAGGTCATTAGAGACTGGGTGACTGCCTCTGTTTTGGCCTTAGATGTCTCAGAATCTCTATCCAGCTCATAGTAAAACAGCACCAGATTTGTCCAAGAAAATTCTTCTCTCAAAAATCTGCAGAGACTTGACATGTATAAGGGACCTCGGCATATTTAACTTCTTTGACCCTTGCAAGCAGCTTTTCTGTGCACAGGACAAGCCTTGTACTCAAGGCTCTATTTCCAAGGTGAAGGAAAGGAACACATGGCTGTGGAGAGCTGAGCCTGCTATCCCAGCTGAGGTGCCCCTCAGCTATGCTCTGTGGCTACTGCAGGATCCTGAGCCGAGATGCCAACCAGAAGCTGACTTTAGCTTAAGAGGCAGCGGTGCTACAGGAAAAACAAAGAGGTAGTCTTTGGGTGTCCTCATCAGAAACTGGGTTGTTGGGACTTTACTGGGGACTCCTGGGTGTTGTGGATTATGAAACAATACAGCCAGCCAGAATCTGAGTCTGAACAAGTAGCTACCGATCCTATGCCCACCCTGTGTGATGTCTGGTCCAGTGATTGAAGGTTGGAGACACATAAATGGAAGAACAGACGAACAGACACACACACACACACACACACACACACACACACACACACA